TCGGGATTTGAACCAACACTATGATGACGTCAGCTCATAACCACACTGCGCCACGCTGCCACCGCTACCACTAGTTAATTTGTGAGGTAAAAGTATTAATTATATTTAAAGCATTTTTCTCTACCACTGTTTGAAGCTGGTGGAAAGAAAATTAGGTATTTACGCGTATTTCAAATCAATTTTTGCATTATTGTATTTAATTTAATCTCGGGGTTCAACGGCTGATCGATGTACGGAGTTGAAATTGCCAGTCCTTGCTATATGATGTGGGTCCCTATACATTGACTGCTTGCTTACGAGCTAGGTATAACTAGACAGTCTGCGCAAAAGAATCTTGTAGTTGATCAATCGTGCTGAAAGCTTTCAACATGTCGAGAAGCAGCAGAATAACGTATGGTTGATTAAAGCCTAATGCTGATATTTCTTAGTATTATGTAATGATCATTTTATAAAAAATCAACCAATTCATCTCCATTGTTGGAATAATTTTCTTATCTACCAATTACCTACAAAAAATACCAACATTTGTAAATTTACCAATGATTTTTCAATGCTGAAGTAGTATTTTTTTGACGATTACAATGTTATGCCAACTTGAAATCTTATATTTTCCTTTTTTTTTGGTAATTCAACCGTTTTTCACTTTGACAGTTGGGCTTCGAGGGACTCATTTCGGGGTTAGCAAATCGTCGGGACCGCCCCTTTTGCCATCTTTTTAGTTCCAGACAAGGTCTTCATGATTTGTTGGATCTTAAAATGCTCAGAGCATATGTGCAGATACATAGAATCAAACTCTTTATCAGCACCAGGACAAAAGACGATCTTTTTTTGTTATAAGATTCTTCTAACTCGAAAAATCGAAAGAGTTGAGGGAGGCCCTTTCCCTTAAGCCTCGAATTGAAGCTATAAAGTAGTTACCAGGCGTTCTGGCTCAAACAGTTGGAACTGGGCAACAAACTCCGTTCGAAATACAACGTCACATGACCATATTGTTTCCTTTTACTGTAGTTAACAAATTGACGCCAGTTTTTTATCGTCTGTCCTCTTATCGATGATAAAATGACATCATAACATTGTCAAAGTGTTGTGGATCCACGAGCCGCGTACAATAACAAAAGCTCGAAAAAGTCAAATATTGCCGGTGAAAATGAAGACAACACAAGAAAATTTGACTTTTTTAAACTAGCGCAATGTTATTGTCAATAACTTTTCTCATGTGGTGATTGGCTACTGATAACAAGTGACGGTTTTTTATTGGCTAAAAACTTGACAGGTTGAGTCACCTCACTGCCCTGCATAAATTTGTTTTGCAAACTTCAAACAAGAATGAGATCAGCGATGTTTATTGCCTAGAAAAACGGAGGTATTTTGGGGCTGTATAAAGTCGTAAACTACTAGCCCAGGCTAAGGTTAAATATTATTCCAAGGAAAGATTTTGGAGCCGCTATAGTAAACGAACAAATCGAAGCAATGTACGGTTAAACTATCTGTAGATCAAACTAGTCTGGCAGTTTAGAAGAGTTGTTAACCGATTAGTACGAACAGAAATCGTGTACGGCTGGTTGTTTACTTCAGTTCTCGACTTGTTTGTCGTCCTGAATGCCATTCAGCTATATGAGCTGTGTACAATCAAACCGAAAGGTATGTATTATAGTCACGAAGTTTTTATTTCAACTTACCAGGTACTTACAAAGTTTCATAAAGTTTGTACAAAAAGTTTGTTTTGCTTTCGAAAAAAGGATCAGAAAAACACTCAGTTCTTGTCAAAAGAAAACTACCGTTATAAATGTGCTTATTTTTAATAAACTAGTCGACTTTCAGGATTGTTTTCTTACTTTTTTAACTTTTTTAAATCGCAGTTTTGAAACTGTACCATTTCTAGAAAGTCGTCCCCTCTTTTGGAAACTAAGTGTCTTGTTTAGTTTCCTCTGCTTAAGCTTTTAGCAGAGAATCCAAACGGGATGCAAGTTTTGCATCAGAAGTTTCTTGCTATTATTCTCAGAGAACAGAAAGTGAATCTTCTACGAAACTAAACTAAGCAAAAACACCAAAGGTCGGCATTCGTTCTGCAAATGACCGCGTCTTGCATCATAAAACTTAAAATTTTATGTGTTTGTCCTCTTAATGATAATAACAATTAGCCAATCAGCGTGCGAGATATAATTCCGTTATTGTAAAAAAAATATCCTTTCTATAGTTTTTTTGCATTTTGTTAACTTATATTTGAAACACCAAACACTTTCAATCTTTTACCGGAGTAGAATGACTCAAAACGTTGTGGAATCTAGACTGACATCTACTTCGAGATAAAAAAGCCAATGAGTAAATGGCGCGTTGAATCGACATGGTGAAAATACCCTAAATTTGAATTTTTTTTCGGCATGACTAAACAAATGTTTGATTTCAACTTCTCAAACTCATTAATAATTCATTAAGAAAATACAAAGGAAATTAATGTTTAATGAGTCCTTGGAAATCGGATGAAACACTGCTTAGTATTTGCATCCTTAATTTCTCCTTCAAAAATGATTTTGTTTGAGAAGAAATATCAAACATTCGACGCAGTGTTTCATCACCAGATGAAACACCTCGAAGTTCGTCAAAAATACTCCGCTGCGCGTCGTATTTTCAACTCTCTTCTCGGTGTTTCATCTGGTGATGAAACATTGCATCTCATGTTTGATATATTACGTATAAAATGAACATATTACAGGTTGAGTTCACCGTGACGTTTTGTATACTCTTGACTGCGTGATGAAATGACTACACTTAACGTCGGAAAATTAGTTCTGACCAAGAAAGTTTAGGTTAATTTTTCAGGCTATCAGCCTGTCCGACAAAGTTAAGACGAAGGTTATTCTTCGTTTTATTACAAAGTTCTAAACAGAGATATCAGAAAGTAATCATGAGGTGAGTGGTATCTTGAGGGACAACCAACCGTATAACTGTTATTTTCAGTGCTTATATTAGTTGTATTGACGATAGAAATGAACGACATTTATACCTAATGTAAAGCGCTCATTTTGCAGCGGTTTTCCCATATTTTCACTTTTCATACCGAGTAGTATATATCCACGGTCTAGCCAAATGTCCTGTACGTCACGCAAATATATAAATCGGGTAATTATCACTATAATCTGCAATAATCAATTTTTTTTAGCCCCAAAGTGGAAGTTTAATTCACAATAATATTACAATAGAAAAAAGGAACGGAAATTAGATTACACTTTATCTTTTAACAGAAATTTAACAAATGTGTAGGCAGCGATTCTTACATATTTTGCCATGTTGTCATTATGCAAAATAAACATCTGTAAAAGGGGAAAATTAACTCCGGTATATCTTGGATTTACCACTGAAAAGAATAACTCTAAGATTTTGAACGCACATTTTGTAGCCCATGGTTATCTTTATCAATATTGCCCCCTTTTAAAAGAAGAAAATAACGGAATCATTGGACCCTTTCATGGTTTCTGAGATAGACAACGCGTTGGAACGAGAATAGTTATTTACCTTTGTCTCGCGGAAGTCGTTCGTCCTCATATGACATGGGGTAACAAACCTATGTTGAGGTCGCTATAAAGGAGAAATACGGCGAAAGAGGATAATTCCCTTGAATCGCAAACTTTATAGCGAAACATTAAATTAAGTCGAGGTTGGACAATTAAGAGGAACACTATGAGTCTAAACAATAAAGGTTTTTACCCTCAAGGCTCAAATACGACTAGAAGCCAAACAGTACCGAGTCCTTGAAATTTCTTTCTTTTTCTCAGAGTATAACACGCTGACTAAGCAGAATTGTAACGATCGTTGTGTGATCTTATGCGAACTAAATTTTAATCAAGTATCCTGATTACAATTTTCGGATCTCAGTATAATTGTCTTGGTCTGAAATGGTAAATGAAATTCAGCGTATCAATATCAAGCATTCAAAAGTAAGAGGAAAGTGTTTGTCTTTTAATACTTTGGTTAATTTCTCGACGAAAACGTTGCTTCTAATAAAAGCCATGAAAATTTTAATTTTAAGCAAATATTCAGAAACTATAAGCAACCTAAATATACATACAAGGGAATAAAAAAGTGTGCGGACTCGATAAACTGAATATTGAAATGCAAATCTGAACAACTTGTTAATGCCACATAACTAACTCGCAAATGTTTTCAATGAATATCTCTTGCTTCACAGCTTGCTCTGTTAACTGGCCAGGGCGATGTAAACCCTTCGCTGTATGTAACAAGCTGCCCGCTTGAGTTCGATGGAATGTGCGTGTTTGTAAGACTTAATCATCAAAGTATGGAAAGGAAAAAAAAATACAGTTTTCTGTGGTCGAGATTCGCCCTAGATTATCTTTAAATCAAGATATTAACTTTTGTTGTGGCGGGGGTAAATATAAAAATTTTTCGGATTCAAAATAATTCAGTAAAGCTTGCATCATGGAAATGATTAAGTCGGCTATCAATTTCGTGGCTGAGACCTCACCTAATAACTGTCCGTGAAATTTTGGGCCACATAAAACAAATGATATAATCTTCGTTCGGTTTATTTTTTATCCAAGATTATAAGTGCTCTAGGTTCACACAAATTCCCGTATTCCTCAGTGGGTTGCTGTGTTTTTTGCCTTTATTATATATAGTATAAAATATCCTGACAGATCAACTGGAAGCGTTTCAAAGTTAAAATTTTAAGTCCTAAAATTATATTTGGAAAACATAATTTTAGGACCTAAAGGAAACAGAAGAACAGAGGAACCTCTTCCCCAGCATTTTTCAATACATCGCCACGGTAGTGGTGACAGTGCAGTGAATGAACCTACGTGCCTACCCTTCTCAGTTTTCGCATAAATCTTACAATTGACTACCTCAAAGATCTTTACCCCCTAACCCCCCAAACAAAGCGAATGAGATCTACTAAACGCGTAAAAACAAGTTGGACTATATTGCCACGTATTGCTAAGAGGTATAATGTTCAACAGAGTGGATTTTTCTTCATTCGAAGCAAGATGTGTACCGAGCAAGAAGTCCGTGTGCAGTTGTTGTTGGCTTTCTTCTTCGTAGCTGCACTTTCCTACCAAGAAGTTGAAGGTATAAAAGAGAATATTCATCCCTGTATTTCGTTTTTGCAACTTATTTTTATTATTTTTACTTTTTGTATTTCTAGCGCTGAGTATCAAAACTGGAATATGCAATTTCACCATTACTACTCCTGGTCTGTTTGCGTGTGAAAAGGTTTCCTTTGAGAATCCTTTCAATGGCGGGCAGGATGTGAAAGTTTTCGTTTCCAAAAGCTACACAACAAAGAATTATAGTGGTGGAGATGGCGCGGCTATTTGGGTGGAATCTGTGGATAATAAAGAGTTTACAGTTTGTGTTTTAGAGTACGGAGATGGTTCTAGTGGGACTACGAAAGTGAACTGGATGGCGCTGCAATCTGTTCCTGTTGGCGCTCAACTAGACACAGTCTCGTTGGATTCTTGGACTACTGGAGAAAAGTGTAAAAGGATCGCCTTTGAAAAGGTTACCTCTGTTTCCCCTTGCGTTTTCGTTAACTTAATAGTTCTTACTGATTTAGGTATTTCTGTTTGCTCAAACCTAAACACAAGATTTCACTACGTCATTTTTTTAGCTTTGCTTGACTAAGTGGCTTTAACTTCCTCTTTCTTTATTTAGCTCGTAGGAGCTGCAGACGTTCCATTTGAGGTCTTCCTTATATCTTTAAGTCACGCGATATAACATTGTTGCATCATAAAATACGATTCTTTATTCGTTTACCAAGATCTTACATATATTGCTACCTCTATTTTCTTCCATCAAAGTTATCTTGCAATCTGTCCTCCACTTTTCTTGATCATGTCAATTTTTTTATTTAAGTTAATATATCTTTAAAAAGGTTTAACAATCTTCATACTTTTGCTAACTTTTGCTCTAAAAAATTTAGAGAGAAAGTCTATATTTCGATTCCTTTTGTGTCTACGTTGCCACGTTCATGATTATCGTTTTATTTGCTGATTTACAAATTCTGTGTTTAATTCGTAAAACTGTTCTTAGTTTTTCATCTGCACTAGGAAATTCCATCCAATTTGCTTCTTTCAAGTTCAAAATGATTTTTTCTATCACACTTCCATCGTTTTATATCATACCCTTGTTTGTTTGAAAAAGAAATGTAATTGATTATTTATTTTCTTCTCTTTTACTTTTTCAGCGTTTCTCAATTCCTCCGAGCATCTACGTAACAGCTCGTCACCAAATTCTCAAGAGACCTCAGGACGCCTTGGCAATGTGGGTAGAGGATGTACGCAGAGACAGTTTTAAGGTTTGCCTCAGGGAAACTAAGATTTTTGATGGTCTGCATAAAAACATCAAGGTGGTAAGTGAATTTCTTTTGTTACCTTTTACATGTTTGAAAGTAGACTAACACGACAACCAAGCGGTTCCTCCCTTGCTGCAACTTACAGGGGCTGTGCTCTAGCAGAACCCAGTTGCCCCTGAGCTCTACCTTTGCTCTTTGCCTACTAGGAAATCGTAGCTTTTTCATAGAGATCCTATGTTGGGTACCCTGTGATTTACACAGGTTCAGAGCCATGGGCTAACTTCTCTCAGAAACAACCTTGACTTGAGAAAGAATATATTGATAACATTGTTAATACTTTTTCACTTGTCCTTCAGGACTGGATAGCATTTGTTAAGCTGATGACGCTGAATTCTACCTTGATCCATGGCCTTGTAACAACAAAGAATAACTCACCACTAAACAAGCAACAAAACAACGCTGTCTGTCAGGTAAAGTAACTAATGAACTATACTGTTTTGGTTTCTCAGTCACTTATATTCATAAATAGAAAATCTTTCATACGTTCATCGAGCTGTAATGTTGTTATCGTCAACTATTTAATCAACATATATCATATACCGCATATGTGTAGAAACACTTAATGACGATGATTTTTTTCTTGTTTTTTTAGATAATAAAGTTCACTGATGCTTTTTATGCCCCTCCGGTAGTAATGGTTTCACCAAGACTCAGTTACCATAACAACTCTCGTTTCTCGGCTTCCGCAACTTGTAACGCAGTTACTGCGTGGATTCAGGTAACAAATATGAAACTTGGAGCCATTTTTCTTAGTCCATTGCGTCCTTAGGCTGCCTTCTTATCTTTTCCTGTCGAACTTACTTTTAGAATTGTCTCTGTTTCAATTTTTCATGTCGTTTAAGGAGTCCAAAAAAGTTTTTTTTTGTTTGATTTTTTCCCAATTTTTCCAACCAACCTGTGCACGCCACGGTTTCGCTTTCTGAACAACCTTGGTGTACCTAGTGACATAGTAGTTAAGGTAAGAAAATACCTGATGATGCTTAATGATTGATAATCTGATACTTCTAATGATTGTGTCTAGCATACCTTTAGAAACGAAACCGAGGTGTGTATGAGAAGATACAGCAATAACGCCAATTATAAGGACATCGTACAACTGGATTACCTGGTGATTGGAGGTACGTAAACAATATATCAAAACCCTTGGTAAAGGCTGTATGCTGCAGTGTATCAAGTACATTTTATGACATGAATCTTTTGAAGTTGTTTCATGCAGAGCTTTTTTTCTCTAATTGATGCTATTTTTTTGTTGTCTCTATTTTTGGGGATTGTAGATTTGGTTGACTGAGTTGAAAAACGGGATCATATGCATTCTTATCCTTTTCTTAGAGTCGCCAGTGTTGTTGCATCTACCTGCAATGCATCTTATTGGCATCTTAAAGCAGTTTCAGCTTGTAGAATCTATACCTTTTTTCTTGTATCTAAAGTCACGTGTTCCTTAATTTACGTTACAGTTTCTTAATATACGTTAGAGCCCCTTTGTTTCCGGGAGGCATCCGAGTGAAGACTTGCACGAATGGTGTGCCAAAGTGGCGGTAAATTTGAACGTGTCTAAAAATTCTCTTTAATAACATTGTGTTCAAAGCAATTATTTTTTTTTCTCCACGTTCTCATAGTAATGTGCATTTTCAATTCTAAAAAAATAACTTTTTAAGTTATGGGCGCTTTAAATCCATCTGTTGTTATTTGCTTAATTATCTTCAGACTTGGATCCCTGCATAGACGTTACGTGTTATTATCACAGCTTCTGTAAGGCGTTTGGACCCCATGATGCACGCTGTGTATGTGTGGATAGCTGCCCATCTTACAAAGAACCCGTTTGCTCATCAAATGGCACAACGTACGACAACAGATGTTTGTTTGAAAGAGAAGTTTGTCTACATCGACTAAACTTAACCGTGCAACATCCTGGTAGCTGTGAAGGTTAGTACAGTTGTTTTTGAATCTGTGATTTTTCTTTTTATTAGATTTCAGTATTAATCCCTTAGTGAATTTTTCGAATGAGTAATTTACTTACCCATGTAATCTGGAGGGAAAAACGGCGATAGATGCATGACTTTATGGAAGTACAGAATTTTACGTAATTTTGCTAAAACGTTTGACAGGGGCAATGCTAATAAGAATACTGGTCAGGAAAAGTGGCGGATACACTTATATTTAAGCATTTTCAGTTAATACTCAGCGAAAATATTTGTTTTTTTTTAAATATGTATCACTGAAAGAAATTTAAAACTGATTCTTCCCTCTGAGATTAGTATAGTAGTAGTAGTAGTAGTAGTAGTAGTAGTAGTAGTAGTAGTAGTAGCTACTACTACTACTACTACTACTACTACTACTACTACTACTACTACTACTACTACTACTACTGCTGCTGCTGCTGCTGCTGCTGCTGCTGCTGCTGCTGCTGCTGCTGCTGCTGCTGCTGCTGCTACTACTACTACTACTACTACTACTAGTAGTAGTAGTAATAGTAATCGTTTGCATTTCGTACCCGGACGTAGCTCTGCCTAACATATCTGGATAACCTTTCCTAGAGTTATATTTTTTAAGCATAACTGCAACTGAATCTTTTCTTTGCGAGAAGTAGTAGTTACAGTGAATGTTCACTTTCCTTTCCTTTAGCGCTTATAGGCTTGACCATTTGCCACCGTGTAGCTCTGCTCAGGATGCAAGTTCTAATCTCGCCACCGCTTGCCATGCTATTGACCTAATGCAGTGACAAGCGATACATTGTCCGCTGTGAACTTTCCCTGGACTTCTATAGTAGAGAGTAACAACCCTCTTTATTAGAACCACTCATTTGCTGCTCTGATAACATTTTTAAGTTCTGGGTAAATGCCCTTTGCTCCGCATGCTTGTCATACTAATCTATAGTTCATCTTGAGATGTGTTTTCTAGGATTTCCTTTTCAGCGTGGTCGTCGCCACATGCCACATATTCCATCCTTGGGCTACTCTCACTGTCATGCCATTCATTTCAAACCGTTTGTGTTTTACCCTGACAAACCCATTCAAGTGCAGATAACTGTCAATCATATGGATACCAGTGACAAATCGTATGTCCATGACGCGGCAGTATCGTGGGTTGAAAATGTGAATAATGACGGATTCACTGCTTGTGTGATGGCGGCAGGATATAACGAACGAAAGTCGTATGCTAACGTGACAGTTGATTGGATGGCGTACCAAGGTGCTCCAGTGGGTGGCGTGACTGGTGAAGTGCGCATGTCACAGTGGTGGACTGGTACGACTTGTGCGATTGTCAGGTTTCCTACAGTGAGTGGCCTTTGTTGGGCTTTCTTGTCCTTTCCATTCTTTTCAAGATCATATCTTTTGAAACGCCTCACTTTTACTGAGTTCACTCAGTTAATAACAGATCGTTTTCAGTATGCATCAGCAGTGATTTGTCGTAATGGTGCAGCCGTACACTTATTACCAATTAATAGTCGAACAATGTCACGGTAGTACAAATTATTCTTTTACCAATTTCCAGCATATCACAAATGTCATGGGTTCCTTTTTGCAAAAATACGAAATTAATTCATGTTCGTAGCTTTCTAACAGTTGAGAGTTGCCTAACTCGCATTTATTCTTCAGGGAAAATTCTCTGTGATACCGTCGGTATTTGTGACTGCCAAGCATTACAATCCAGGATTAAAACGTGACGCAGCAAGCATATGGATTGAAGACGTCACACAATCATCCTGCAAAGTTTGCTTGAGAGAATTGCAAAACTACGCTGGATCACACCAAGACGTCGTTGTTGTAAGTAACGCTAGTCTCATGGAGTCGAACGAACAGCGTTTTTCGTTGGAAACTAAGTGCAGCAGACTGGTATCTTTCTCCATCTCATCTTTTCGCTTTTTTACGCTTCCAGTAGTTGGTCCAGCAGAGATGCACGATTTTTTGGTTGAAAATATATTTTCCTCCATCTGTTTTCTCTTCATCCGGCTTTGTCAACCTGACCATGTTATTGCTTTCTTGTAACCTAAGATGTCGGTGGCTGTTTTATATAAACCTTGTTGAGAGATTACCATTTATATGTTATTTTCGACGTTGACACAATCTTTTGGTAGTTACAGGGGCACCCAACGACAATTTTCGGAAAATATCTGTTCGGAAGAGGATTTGAGATCTAGAATTTTCGGAACATTATTTCCAAAATTTCTTGCTTGCCTGCCTCTCCTAGGATTTTCGAACATCTAAAAAATGGTATAATTGCCCATTTTTAACGGATTTTTACCCTAAAAAGATCATCTAGAATTTTCGGGAGCCTCTTTTCGGGCTTAAAGTTTTCGAAAAGGTAAGTTTTGATCCCTATAATTTTCGAATCACTAGACTTTCAGCTAGGAAATCCGAACAGATGAAATATTTTTAGGGGATAAAAATATGCCTATATCTACCGTTTTAATACTAAAATACGTTTAACAATGCTATGTTTAAGTGGTTTTGAACTATATTCTCGTTGGGTGCCCCCGTAGTTAGGACGTGAGAGTGAAAAAGAATTCTTTCTTTCTATTCTTATTTATTTATTTACTTTATTTCAGAATTGGTTAGCGTTTTCATATCTTGACGAGCCTCCCTTCTCAGAACGCAATTCGATTTACTTTTCCAATGATAAACCTCCCGCGCAGAGTCACTATAATGCCTTCTGCAAGGTCAGTATTCCAGTCCTTTCATTAGTCTTATTGGTTTCAATTCCCGTCACAGTGCACTTAATTTTATTGATTAAATTTACTATCAGAGAGCAAAAAAAAAACGGTTGCCCTATCATGTTTCTAGTGATGGTAGTTACATTTAGTCAGTTTAGCAGGCTGTCTGTCATACTTCAGTGAATATTTAAAATAAAAATGAAATATAGATTATAAATGCTCTAATGCGGAACAAGTCTTTACCTTTATATAGAGACTGAATTTTTACAATTATGTAATTTCTTTTGACAGGACGCTACTTTTACTAAAGTTTATAACTCAACTCCACATGTGTTTGTTTCTGCCAATCATTCCACCAAAAATGGAAGTCAGAGTCCAATTCATAACAGCATAGCTGAGTGGGTAGAGGTATGTTTTAAGTTATTTATTTAATTATTTTCTTTTCATTTATTTTATGAATTTGTGTAACATAACACTTGCAACCACACTTACATGTGTTGTGTGCATGTTTAAAAACCTTATGAAAATACGAATGACTGTAATTAACACTCTCTATTTGACAATACAGATAGCGTTCTATTGAGAATAGGAAATAAGCGTTGACAGGCCAAACACGACTCATAAGCTCGTGATAATGTGAAAAGTGACCTTGAGAGTCTGCTTGCAATTGAACAGTGGTTCTCTTTCTTTTTTCTCTCGCGCGAAGGTTACTAGCACTACACAGTGCAAGACGTGTAGCATTCTAAACTTTGACTGAGTAAATCTTGTTTTTGCCGCACTAAGTCTTATATTTAGAGGTCACGAAGCAGGTTTGTTACATGCATACTGAGTAATCATTTCCTGTGGTTCATGCTTCTGTACTAGGTGTCCCTGACAGGATTTGATTTCAGATGCGGTTGTTAAGTGTTTTATATCCTTTGACCTCTGTTTATTACGGCTGAATAAAGATTTTAGTTTTTTTTGGTTTTCTCCGAAATGACTGTATCTGAATAAATACATGCATGCATGCAAGTTTCTTTGTCCGTGAATGTGATTATTTCCTGCCATGTCAGTATGACTCTGGGCCCAGCTCTATAGTATAGTGTGGTTTGCAGGATTTTGAATTTCCACGGATAGTGCGATCTTCAGATTTGAGTTGTACACTGTAGCTTAAATACTAAAGCTACACCAAGTTTGGAGAAATATGCCGTGCGTCAGTCAAGATAATTCTCTTAGCGCTCACACAGTCCATTTAGTTTTTCTTAACATAAGTGAGTCTTTGAACTCGAGCGCGATGTCTTGTTGTTCCTTCGTAGGTATTTTCTTAAGTTTTTGCTTAACAGTCGTCTGTGCGACTGCTATGGATTCTTAAGCAAGACTGCAGTTTCGAAACTATAGCGTTCCTCGTCAGTTGCTACTATAGTAAAGTCTTAGGTACAGAGAGCGGAGCAGACTGTTTAAATACTGGTGGCTAGGATCGAAAATACTAACTTGCCATTGGCTGCAAAAGTAACCAATAGCGTAGGTGTATCCTTGATCCGCGTTATGTTGTGTTTCCTTCAAGGTCAAAAGTGCTTTTTGGGCTGAACCGGTATGATAGTATCTGACTAGGTTGCAGTGATACCAGGTCACTGACATGTCGTAGTGCGTGTAAGTGTCTTTCTCAGGAGATTCGAGATATTTTCTCGTAACTTTCTCCGGCAAAATCAGTAGCCCGAGTGAGATTTCTTCCCACGAGTTATGACGGAGCACTGTCTAAAAATATTCGCGTGAGAGAAAAAAGAAAGAGAACCACTGTTCAATTGCAAGCAGACTCTCAAGGTCACGTTTCACATTATCACGAGCTTATGAGTCGTGTTTGGCCTATCAACGCTTATTTCCTACTGTGATATTTTTAGACAGTGCTCCGTCATAACTCGTGGGAAGAAATTTCACTCGGGCTACTGATTTTGCCGGAGAAAGTTACGAGAAAATATCTCGAATCTCCTGAGAAAGACACTTACACGCACTACGACATGTCAGTGACCTGGTATCACTGCAACCTAGTCAGATACTATCATACCGGTTCAGCCCAAAAAGCACTTTTGACCTCGAGTAGCCTGCGTAGCAAGCTTTTCCAATCGAGTGAATCGAGTTATTGCGCGAAAGTTAGAGCGGAAGCAAAAAAAAAAAGGTTGAAGGGGGAGGGGGAGGGGAGAAGAGGAAACGCTTGCCCGCAAACCCCACGATTCTGGAAAACGCCCCTTGATATTTCACGCTTCGGTTCATTTGTAAATTGACAGCTCGTCAAAATAGAAACATAACGAACAGATTACCCCTGGATTACCAGATTTGTAAAATTACTTTGTTCTCTAATAGGACACGTTGCAGGCGATTGCAAGAACTGTAATAAAAACGATTTACGATAAAAGAAAGTTAAAACCATGAGCGATTGATGCGGAATTTCTTGTTTTTTATTGTGCGGCTTTATCTCGTCTGAAACCTTTCGACACGTCAAGAACAATTCCCTCCGTCGGGTATAAGTTTTGCAGAGCGGCTGCTCTTCAGCCTGTGTCGAAACGTTCTCTAAAATAGATGCCGCTAGATTTCCAATAAACAAAAAGAATCTTTTCATTTCAAAAAGCTGACAAATCGCTTGTCCATGGCGGCTTCAGCTAGTGTCGAGTACCGATGTTCTGATTTATGTGGATGTTATCTCCAACAAACAGTCCATTTTTTCCAGTCAGATCGGCACGCTGTGATTCTCAATAGATTGGCCTTCCCTAGTCTCCACTGCTCGATCTCCAATTATACTTTGAAGGCTCTGATCTCATAAACCTTCGCAAAAAAACACGATTCCAATAAATATCAGTCCAAAGCATTTGTAATCTGCGACCGCAAATCAGATGAGACCAGATCTGTGACGCACGAAAACAAAGCATACCTGGTTTGATTGATGTTTCGAATGCTAAGTAATCAACACCACCCGCACCGCGCCAATCAGAAGCTGCGTTCGTGGGCGAACGCAGTTTTTCAAAATCGTGGGGTTTGCGGGCAAGCGGTTCCTTCTTTCCCCTCCCCCTCCCCCGTCATTCATTTTTTTTTGGTCTTGTCCCAGCTTTCTAGACGAACCTCGCGAGGAAACGCTTGCTACGCAGGCTAGACCTCGAGGGAAACACAACATAACGCGGATCAAGGATACACCTACGCTATTGGTTACTTTTGCAGCCAATGGCAAGTTAGTATTTTCGATCCTAGCCACCAGTATTTAAACAGTCTGCTCCGCTCTCTGTACCTAAGACTTTACTATAGTAGCAACTGACGAGGAATGCTATAGTTCCGAAACTGCAGTCTTGCTTAAGAATCCATAGCAGTCGCACAGACGACTGTTAAGCAAAAACTTAAGAAAATACCTACGAAGGAACAACAAGACATCGCGCTCGAGTTCAAAGACTCACTTATGTTAAGAAAAACTAAATGGACTGTGTGAGCGCTAAGAGAATTATCTTGACTGACGCACGGCATATTTCTCCAAACTTGGTGTAGCTTTAGTATTTAAGCTACAGTGTACAACTCAAATCTGAAGATCGCACTATCCGTGGAAATTCAAAATCCTGCAAACCACACTATACTATAGAGCTGGGCCCAGAGTCATACTGACATGGCAGGAAATAATCACATTCACGGACAAAGAAACTTGCATGCATGCATGTATTTATTCAGATACAGTCATTTCGGAGAAAACCAAAAAAAACTAAAATCTTTATTCAGCCGTAATAAACAGAGGTCAAAGGATATAAAACACTTAACAACCGCATCTGAAATCAAATCCTGTCAGGGACACCTAGTACAGAAGCATGAACCACAGGAAATGATTACTCAGTATGCATGTAACAAACCTGCTTCGTGACCTCTAAATATAAGACTTAGTGCGGCAAAAACAAGATTTACTCAGTCAAAGTTTAGAATGCTACACGTCTTGCACTGTGTAGTGCTAGTAACCTTCGCGCGAGAGAAAAAAGAAAGAGAACCACTGTTCAATTGCAAGCAGACTCTCAAGGTCACGTTTCACATTATCACGAGCTTATGAGTCGTGTTTGGCCTGTCAACGCTTATTTCCTACTGTGATATTTTTGGACAGTGCTCCGTCATAACTCGTGGGAAGAAATCTCACTCGGGCTACTGATTTTGCCGGAGAAAGGTACGAGAAAATATCTCGAATCTCCTGAGAAAGACACTTACACGCACTACGACATGTCAGTGACCTGGTATCACTGCAACCTAGTCAGATACTATCATACCGGTTCAGCCCAAAAAGCACTTTTGCAGGGTCGTAACATGGTATATCCGGGACCCACTGTTCCCTATTTTCTTGCCGTTATTTGGATCCCTGAGCCCCTTTTTCCCCAAAATTTTGATCTCTGAGCCCTGATAAAAAATTTGATCCCATCCATGTTTTACACAAAATTTTAACTTAGACAACTTTGTGTATCTCCAAATAGAGAATATAGAACATGCATGGCTGATGAGAAAAACATCAACTTTGATTTTTAGTGCAAGTTGTATAGGTTCTATCAGAGGTTTAAAGATCAATATGAGTCAACCCCTTTTTGTGCATTACTCTATTTAAAACACTTTAAATATAATGTTTGGCGATACTATGCAAATGATAAAACCTGATTTTCTTGAACGTTAGCTTTAGTAAGATACAGAATGTAAGTTATTGTTAATTTATACATCATAAGTAGTCCACTTTAATTCAAGTATCGTACATCTTGAAAGATCTTGCGGCGGAAACTTGATTTTTTCAGATGTACCGTTCATCAAGAGTATTTACAAGGTTTAATTTCAGTGTTGCTCATAGGAGCAAGGCCACCCGGAGGTTTATAAGCCAATCACAAGAAAGGATTGGATTCAAAATTCGAATAAATACACTTTTAGTCAAACAGCAAACACAGCTAGCGCTGGCTGGTCCGCAAAATTAACGTCCCTGTAAGGTACTTCTGAACTAAGGTCTTCCTCTAGCTTTCCAATTCCTGTCCCGTACGAACGTCGGCCGTGTTACTGGTCTACAATATTGATGTTAATAAAGTGTAATCGTTTGTCTACGTTTTGTCTCACGATTCAGTCACTTGATGATGTAGATCGCGACGTTTCAACTGCGTACTTAAAGACCTTGCCTTGCTAGTCTTCGTCGACTGGTCACACGTGAACTTATATGACTCCAAGCTCTGGTTCTGGTTGGTCGATTGTTAGCCGCTGAGATTGGTGCGTTTCTTACTCCGTTGTTTGTATGAACTTTTGCCTCACTGGTGCGCTGTCGTACGAATGTCCTATTGCTTTGTTTCTCGATTAAGGGCAACCAAACTTCTGGACTTTCTATTCTGCTATCCCTGTTGATGTTGAGAGTGTAGTCTTATGTGAATTTCCTCTTTCACTCTGTGTGTTACATTGAGGATCACGATCAATTACCAATAGCAAAACACCTGCTTTACATGAAGTAGAAAAATTAAATGATGCAAGCCACAGGTTCTACAGTTTTTAAAACAGCTTTTCTGTGTCAAGCCCATTAATGCCGGCTTTTCCTGGCTTAATAACCATTGTAGATTGACACAGGACACATCTGGTTGAAGGTCTTCCAGAGCTACTCCTTCCAGCTTCGAATCTAATTGGCTCTGAAAAGGTGCGCACCTGAGCTTACTCCCCTTCCTCTTCGTCACCACCTGACGCATGTGAATCATCTGATTCAACTGACCCCTGGAGCAATGCAACTAGGCGTTGCTCTTGAAGGCAGCTCAAACAGAAGTTGTTTCCATCTTTTATTATTTGAACTTTCCCGATGATACACTCAGGTGAATTTCTATCGTCACCGTGCCCAATCTGGTATACAACCGGATCTTCTTCTGACTGTTCCAGCTATCTCAAACCCATGTGATCTTCCAGGAATGCGTCACCGTTATGGTAAAGATCTTTTTAAAAGAACTGCAAGGAAGAAAGGAATGATATACCTCTTGTAATTGTGCTTGACAGCAACTACGTCGCCTTTTGAATAGATAATCTCATATTCTTCGGCTGCGTCTTGAACTGTAGTTTGTCCTTCACTCCCTTGAACCTCTTTCAGCAGATCGACTTCTCCATGTGCCGACGCATTCCTTCTGAACATACTCAGAGCAAGTGGAAGTGTACCAGCTCTTTGTTTGGTCTTCCCTCTTGTTCTTTGCTGTCGTACACCCCGTCCGAATTCTTTCGCAAAGCTCTGCAATGCCTTCCTGTATCGCTCCTTTCCCTCCCCGCTCGCTTCCTCGTCCATACCCTCCTTAAGGTTTACTCTTGCCGTGCGACTTTCGAAGCCATTCCGGTGTCTTTGGACCAAGCTTTGTCTGTGTGTAATGGGTTTGAGGACCGGTATAAAAGATAAACGAGGATTGGTAGAGCCTCTCTATTGATTCTAAAAGACAGCTGGGCCCCCGCGATGCGTAGTCATTCAGAGCGGGTGTTCTCTCTCCACTAAAAAATTCAGGCTCCAAATCTAAGGTGGTGATACCTTTCGGGGCCAACCATTAGATAAGCCGAGGCCGAATAGCCCAAAGGGCCGAAAAAATTCTTGTAGATCAATATTGTCGCTAAAGTCTCTAATTTTTGTGCAAAACAAAATAGCCACTGCACGAACGAGGTCTGAAAAAATCTTGCTTGAAAAAGATAACCTATCCCCGGCTCAAAAATCAAATAGTGGGCCCCTAACTAATGGCCCTTAATTCATGCCGAGTGCTATAATATATTACATTCCTGCAGACTCTGCTACTTGTACCTAGTATGCAACATTCCTTTCACCAGTTAAACTGTTTATTTTATTTAAAAAAACTGAAGAAAATAAACTATAAAGGCTTTGTTACTTTTATTTCACCGAGGTGAGTCTTTGGTGTTCCACTTGTTTTCACTGATTCTACACTGTAATTTCAGACTATTTATCATACAAGCATTTATCAGTTACACAGTAATGGAATGTGTCCTTTACTTTCCCGGCCCAATACTAGTACTGGTAGGTGAACCGATCTCGGTTTCTAATCAGGGTTCGAGATAACCCTAAAACTCCATGCAATTAGAGCAAATTTATTAAATTGCGAGAAAGCATTTATTTTGCAACAAAGCGAGCGAATTCATTGCGCTTTTGTATTCTACTTTTGACGTCCATTCTAATTATTTAAGTACTTTTAAGAGTCAAGTTACTGGTCAAAAAATACGAACCTCGATTTATAGTCGCCTTGTGACTTACTTGAGGCGATGAGGCAATCGGGACCTATACAGTAAATTCCGCTTTCAATGAATCGGTTTGTCTGTTGTCCTGGCGGTATTGTTATGTTTGATCGGCCGAAAAACCCTATGCTTGGACCCTTGCCGGGAGTAAATCAGTCAAGGAAGTACTTACGTACCTTTCTCTGTCACAGGATTTCTTTTTGTCCTTTTTCTTGTTCCCCATCTCTCGTCAAAAAAGATATGTAGAAATCGCTTTCTCTGCCTTCTGGCGTTGACAGCGCGTTGAGAAGTTGCGTTACAAAGCGAGAAAAGTGACTTGAGATTCATATTACGGTGCCCTCAACCATTAATAAATTAAGAATATGATACTATGTTTTCGTCAAACAACCAGGACTTCGTTTGACAGGAACTTCCGCCAGCCGGAAGCAAGAATAGGTAATGTACCTCGGCCCGAAATTCTACTGGACACAAACCTTATTACGCCGAAAAATATTGTGATAAGAGATTTTTAGACTGCGCAATAAATCTGATCTCAGATTCGGGCTCAAAAACCTTGTGATCCCTGATCCCATTCTTCTGATCCCTGAGCCCTTTGCTGTGAGCCCTGATCCCAGTCATATTTTGGGCTTTGAGCCCTGAGCCCATATACCATGTTACGACCCTGCTTTTGACCTTGAAGGAAACACAACATAACGCGGATCAAGGATACACCTACGCTATTGGTTACTTTTGCAGCCAATGGCAAGTTAGTATTTTCGATCCTAGCCACCAGTATTTAAACAGTCTGCTCCGCTCTCTGTACCTAAGACTTTACTATAGTAGCAACTGACGAGGAATGCTATAGTTCCGAAACTGCAGTCTTGCTTAAGAATCCATAGCAGTCGCACAGACGACTGTTAAGCAAAAACTTAAGAAAATACCTACGAAGGAACAACAAGACATCGCGCTCGAGTTCAAAGACTCACTTATGTTAAGAAAAACTAAATGGACTGTGTGAGCGCTAAGAGAATTATCTTGACTGACGCACGGCATATTTCTCCAAACTTGGTGTAGCTTTAGTATTTAAGCTACAGTGTACAACTCAAATCTGAAGATCGCACTATCCGTGGAAATTCAAAATCCTGCGAACCACACTATACTATAGAGCTGGGCCCAGAGTCATACTGACATGGCAGGAAATAATCACATTCACGGACAAAGAAACTTGCATGCATGCATGTATTTATTCAGATACAGTCATTTCGGAGAAAACCAAAAAAAACTAAAATCTTTATTCAGCCGTAATAAACAGAGGTCAAAGGATATAAAACACTTAACAACCGCATCTGAAATCAAATCCTGTCAGGGACACCTAGTACAGAAGCATGAACCACAGGAAATGATTACTCAGTATGCATGTAACAAACCTGCTTCGTGACCTCTAAATATAAGACTTAGTGCGGCAAAAACAAGATTTACTCAGTCAAAGTTTAGAATGCTACACGTCTTGCACTGTGTAGTGCTAGTAACCTTCGCGCGAGAGAAAAAAGAAAGAGAACCACTGTTCAATTGCAAGCAGACTCTCAAGGTCACGTTTCACATTATCACGAGCTTATGAGTCGTGTTTGGCCTGTCAACGCTTATTTCCTATTGAGAATAACAGCTTATAGAACACAAAACGCGCAAAAAAACAGCTCAAAAGTTAAATTTTATCCGTTTAACTAACGATCAGGAATAACCCTTGGCTAGTAAAATTTCAATGAATTATGGAAAGTCGTTAAAACTGTGTTTTAAAAAAGCTGTGTAGCTGTATAGCAGAAGGTAAGCAAATGTTGTCAATCAAACAGCAATGAGAAAACTAAAATTGATGTTACGCAAGAGAGAATGAGCTAAGAGAGCGAATCCCTGTGCCCCATGATGATTATTTGAAATCTATTGAAAGTTCGCACGCGTGCGATGAAGGTTATTTTTATATGCTGTTTCCATGACCCGCGCGGTCTACTTTCCCGTGAACGCGACATATTTCGCCTCCAAACATTTGACAGCAGTTGACCAATTATCGCATGAGAGGTTTAAGTTGTTGACATGTAATAACGCGCACTCAATTGTTCTCTTTCCTCTTCCCTTTGAAGCCCTGTCATGCAAACTTGTTGAACAGGGTTGATCACTTCTTAACATGCGTCAGACTGAGAAATATGGAACGTCTTCTGGTCAAGACCTACCTGAACTGTTCTATAGTTTTTTTTCTACTAGCAAGGGAGAAAATACGCCGTCAGCCGTCTGTGTGAACTACTTAATGAGCTGATAAACATTTCTTTCTTGCAGTACATCAACAAGACATGCTTTCGTGCTTGTGTCAAAGAATTATATGAAGCAAAATATGACCCATTGTCAGTAACGTACACAGTTTTGTCAGGTACTACTGCTACAAAACTAATCATAAACTTCAGTACTTACCAACTCTGTGAATAACGAAAAAGGAAAACAAGCAATACACAAAAGGAATGCACAAAAACTGGAGGAAATAAAAAAAATGCATTCGGGTGATGATGAAAAACAACGTTCATCCCCTTTTCCAAATACATATTAATGTGTATAATGGAGTGCTTTATAATACTTGCAGTTGTTTTTCTCTTATGTATTGCCTTTATTTTGTCCTGAACACAAAGCTTCTGCTTTTCCATTTCCTTTTTTAATCACAAAAACCGGAAATAACAAATATGTTCGAAGTACATAACTGCACCTCAAGCTATACATTTTGAGCAATAGTCATTTTGCAGTTCATTAATTCCTACTTTGTATACGCACAGACATCTGTCCATCTGGATGGGATTACTTCAATGGATACTGCTATTTAACAAGCTCTGTATGCGCACCTTGGGTGACTGCTGTGTCCAACTGTTCAACTATGAACTCACATCTGGTAACAGTGCACAACCAAGAAGAAAATGTCTACATTCAGCACCGTCATAATGGAGAGCGATCATGGATTGGACTTAATGACCGAAGCGTTGAGGGATCATTTGTCTGGACAAACAAGGAAATAACCAGTTTTCGGTTCTGGGCTCCGCAACAACCAAACAACTGGAAAAACGAAGACTGTGTTCACACTGTGAGTGCCAATGATGGCTACACTTGGAACGATGTGTCCTGCGATAACTGTTATAACTATACTTGTGTTCAAGGTAAAAGAGGTCATCAGGTCCATTTACAAAATGCAACTTACATTAAACGGTTCTGCTGTCTCCTTCAAGTTGTCACCTGAATTAAACTGATGTAGCGGGTTGTTATTCACTGCAACACTGATACTTTTTAGTAGGAAAGGTGGTAATGTGACCAAAACAATAATAATAATAAAAAAAACATTAAGCGCGCATTACTGTACTGCCTCTTTTCATTTCATGTTTCCAACTCGAGACTCTGATACCCATTCACTGGAGAAGTAAATTTTTAAAAGGAGGCATGGTAGGCCGGTTTTTTAGATAGTCTTTGAGGTGTCCAGTTGTGGGATGAAAACACTAGGTCGAGTGTTTGATATAGCCTGACAAATGTTTCTTGAAGAAATGTAGGACGTAGTTAAAAGAACACACAGATTATGAAATCCTGAAAACTTCGAAGATAAAACAACGCCACTGCAGTTTAAGCTTGGAGCTCCCTGATGATGCACAATCTTTTCTTTTTTTGTTTTTCACAAAATAACTGTAACTGAATATATTAATTAATGCCAGGTTTTGGTGAGAAAAACCAACGGAAGTTGATTGACCACTCCAACATTACTGTAGAACGGCATCTCAATCATAATGGCCTTCATTTAAATAAAATTAGGAACCTCTCAACTTGCTCGTAATTTTTAAAAATTTATTAAGCATGAGGATTAGGATACTGCCGTTTGGGAGCCTGAAAGACAAGTGCTGAAGGATAATAAGTGTCATGTTACGACACGGGGTAAGTCTTATAATATTGATAACAACTCCTTCGGCCGAGGCTTGGTGATGGCGTCTCTTAACATAAATAGCCCGTTAGCGCATATTGACCAGCTTCGCGTAGTTATGTCAAACTCTGAAATTGATATACTCTCTATTAATGAAAAGGAAAATTATACTTGCCCGGTTTTGAAATAATAAGGAAAGAAAAAGGTGAACGGGTGCAATGGTGGTGGTGTGTCTTGTGTAACCTAAACTATAAAATTTCCGAAGACGTAAGCACTGAAATTCTTGAATGTTTTGTTCTAGAATTTGTTTTTAGATTTATCGAAATTTTTATTTTTCTCTTCAAGAGTATTCATGAGTTCAAGTTGAGAATATAGTAATCTCGGTAAATATTCATATACGTTATAACTGACCCTAGAACAAGGTGATTGAATGAAGCGTCATTTCTTCCAGAAATTGACGAATGCACAACTGACTATCACAGATGTGATGTGAATGCTGCTTGTCAGAATACCGTGGGTTCATACAAATGTACTTGCAAAGGTGGATACTCTGGAAATGGCCGCAAATGCGTTGGTGAGTACTGAAGTTTGCTTTAAACATCGTTTGACTTAATTTTTCTCTGTGTCAAGTTTATATACTGTATACACTAAATAAAGATGTTGTTTGTTAATAAAAAAAGTAGTTTCCGTGTCTTTAGTATCTTTTTAAGGACATCATACCGTATTTACAGTGCTGTAATTACGTTTTTCATTCATCTATTGTAGTCGTTGATTTCTTATAAAATCCCAGTCCCAGGTGGCAAAAATAAGCCATCAACCCTTAGTGGGTATTTAATGGATTTTGAGCAGGTCTATTTCAGTATAAGAATACTTGCACTAATGTGTGGAACAACGTTTTTACACGGATTTTCATTCTTTCAATCAAAACAATTACTTCAATTATTTGTTTTGATTTTAAGAATTTTATCGGTAATAACATTTTAGTTTGATATGATTAATAAAAAACTATTTCAGAGGCAATAAAAAGCCCCAAGGGTGTCTAAATAAAGGAAATTCGGAAGGAAATAGAATATCAAGGAAGACACTGCTTTGTTGTTTTTGGAGCATTACAGCGTGTAATCGGTGCGTGATAATTTTGTCTTTGTTTTCAGATATAGATGAGTGCACAAGCAAGACCCATAACTGTGACAGAAATGCGTTATGTAAGAACAATGAGGGGTCCTTTACATGCACCTGCAATCGCGGTTACAAGGGAGATGGGAAGAACTGTAAAGGTATCTTTCTAGCGCTTTTATAGGCACGGTTCAGACGCCGAACTTTTCATGAGCCGAACCTAATGCGTTTAATTAGGTACATGAAAAGGTTCGGCGTCTTAGTCAATTGAGCCCGGTTTAGACACCGCACCAGTCATGTCCCGAACCTAACTGATAAATTAAGTACGGCAAAAGAGCGGCGTTTGAATGAATTTGGTATGGCCGTTTTAATTAGGTGCGGTAGGTGGCATTATTCGACATTGGAGCGGCATGTGATTCGTACGGCGCTTCTCTCAAGTGCCGAACCTAATGCATACATGCATTACATTGATTTTATAATTTTTCCCACAATACCGCTCGTTTTTACGTAGTTGCCATGCCCAGAACACTAAATTGAGAAAAAAAGGCGGGTGAAAAAGAACAATCTTGCTTCTCTTGCTTTAAGAGTGCAAAATATACTTGTTTACGGTGCCAGGGATACTTCTGTATCCTTTGTTCTGTCTTCGAGAATGACGAAAGGTCAAACTGTCAAGCGGATGGAAAGCAGGCAGTTCAGTCGCTTATTGTGAGCCATGTTTCCGAGAAGCTATGGAGGAGCAAGAAAAGATCGAATGTAATGATTCAAATGAATTTGGCAAAAATAGAGATCTACAGAAGCAAGAAGAATGGTGTTCTACAAAGTGGAAATTAATTATGGCGTGAAAATATGGTATCGAACCCAGGCTTTTCTCTTTCTCCGTACATGAAATAAAGGTTAGGATCGACACACGGCACGCCGTCTGAATCAGTTGCCGCGCCAACGTCGCTCTAAAGTCGGACCTAATTCAGTTAGGTTCTGCACGTAATTAGTGGAGCGGCTTCTGAACCGGGCCTTAGGAAGGGCTATTTCAATTTGGAACTACTCAGCCGCTCTTCCCGCTTAGCTCGGCCGGGAATTTCGACTTTGGAGCGACTTTAATTCAGACACCGAACTTTTCGTGTGCCGAACCTAATGCATAAATTATTATAACGTATGTTACAAGCAGTTTGACGGAAATGAGCATTTTTCTCCTTTTTAATTTAGTTGGCTGGAATTAAGATCGGCATCTGAATCAATTCAACCTGTCTAAATAATGTGGATCGGCCTCAATTCGAATTAACGGGGCCTAACGCATTCATCTTTTTCATTTTTCAGCAATTTTCGAAAACTACAATATTCGTATCAGTCATCGCTTTCCTTTGTAACGTAGAGTGAAAAGAAAATGACAGAAACATAAATTGCGTTTCTCCCTTTTTTCAGATATAGACGAGTGCACAAGTAATACCCATAACTGTGACAGAAATCTGCTGTGTAAAAACACTAAGGGGTCTTTTATCTGCACCTGTAAACCTGGTTACAAGAGAGATGGCAAGAAGTGTAAACGTAAATATTTCAGTACCAAGATCTTCGCATTCGCTGCATTTCAGTGATAATTGATTAGTCAAACACATTAAATGGAGTCTTAGCTATGAACTGGAACTAGCCTGCAGTACAATTAAGCTTAAGCGGGGGGATTCTGTTCACAGGCAAATAGTCATATAATATTTCTTCATTAGCCGGTTAATTAACAGGAATCACTTCTCGTCTGAATGTATGAAGCAACACTCGAGGTCCTCTCCTGGAAACCATAGCATGTATATTGTCGCCATTATTTGCTTTGAAAGAGATTGCAAGTTTCATTGATTAACAGAGCTCTGCAAAGCTCTTCTCTTTTGTTTTCAGTATTCGAATTGTTAAGGTTATTGACCCTTGCGGTATCCTTGGCCATTTATAATATATTTATAATTATCAAACACGTTTTGCTTTCTTCATTCAAAGCTTACAGGAACATTACATTAGGATACTGTCTTCAAGCGGGGCGTGAAGTGGATCATTAAATTGTTGATGCCTATTTTGTTGTAGCGACACGCGGGCTGTTTTCCTACGATCCCGCTCAATCCTGCAAAGAAATCAAGGACTTAGGTATCTCCAATGGCGACGGGGAGTACTGGATTGACCCTGGAAGGACTAAAAGTCCTTTTAAGGCATATTGTGACATGACAACTGACGGAGGTAAGGTTTCACTCGAAGATGACACCTTCTTGGGGCTGGTACGTTGATCAGTAATACCCTGCGTTCCACAAAGGATGCAAATTGCGCTAGAATGTTAATTCCTATTCGGCCCCCTTTTTATCTCTGGTAAGGCACTGTAAAGCTGATTCACTTACGAAGACTCGAGGGAGAACTATTCCTTGAGGTTATTCTGATTTCGCAGTCACCTGAAAACAGACCTAGACTCAGATCCGCTCGCTGACGCTATCCTACAATCTACAAGGTCTCAAGAACAGAAATTACCCATTAAACGGCCTCTCCTTTCGAAGATTGCATGCATTTCATTAAAACAGGTACATATAAAAAGAATCTTGTTAGTTTCTCCCATTTAGCGAGCTCAAATCGACGCATAAAACTAAGGTGACGTGCACGTGTCAATTGACCCTGGGGTCAATTAGCAGTTGTTTGGGGCAAAATAACCTCAAAATAATCAATCTATTTCACAAGCGTTCGCAAGAACACCAGACTAACTTTCAGATAATGTTGAAGTACTATATCTCATTGGGTAGTAACCCGGATTTGGGGTGATTTGGAGAATTCCCCCATATAGAAAATTCGATTTTGGTTTTAGCGGTAAATTGTTGTATTTATAAGCATTATGCAGATTACGTTTCAAAATTGTGCTCGTTTGTCGATATTTTATTCTCTAAATCTAAAAAATGTGCCGTTTAGAAATTGTTAGATATCTGTTTTTTGAGATTAAAGTGGAACATTGCCAATATATTCGCTCGTTTATGAAAGTCAGCTCATTTCTGTCGGTGGGCTGTATTCCCGTGTTCGGCGGCTAATTTTAGGCCCGCAGACCGTTGAAATCGTAAATCTCAAATAATTCCCAAACTCGGCCGCACTTTGAAATTTAAACCTCAGCAGTGTTATAAACTCATTAAAACCTTATTACAGACTGAAAATGAGGGTAGGTTAGGTTTTGAGCTGTGGCCACGGTTTGCTCGATTTTTCTGTGCATTCGCTCTTAATTAGGTAAAAACCGCTATTTTCGTTTTTCCTTATTTTCCCGAAAACTATAGATTCTTGAAAGTTAAAAATATTTTTTTCGAAGATAGTTCCCCAAAGGGGTTTTTCTGACAAATTATCACACAAAATTCACATCGATAATTTAGTCCTTACTTGCAACACTAGGCTTTGTATGACAATTAGCAATTATTGGATGAGGTTGAGTATCATCTGAGAATTATGCAGGCCGAGAAGGGTTCGGCTTCGGCGAATAACACCCCAGTGAGAGTATCCGGTTAATGACTTTTATAGTACAGGCTATCGCCAGAAACTATGGACAGCAGCAGAGACGCCTGAGTACGAGTTAGTTCAGTTGTTTTGCGTATTGCCAGAGAATTTTACTGGTTTTGCCAAGAAAAAAAAATACTCGATCTACGACTTAAAAACATAGCAAAAACAGCAAAAATACAACTCGACGGATAGCATCTGCTAATTGAAGAATAACTGTAAGAATAAGCATACCGTTATATCCTGAATTTGCCGAGGAACAAATTCACGCGAGAGCCATTAGTTTATCAGTTTTTCTTGTAACTGTCAAGTGTTACCATGGAGAAGTTGTTTGAATGAATAATAATATGCGCTTTTTGCGCCAAGCCTCCTTTTAGTGTCAACTTGAGACTAGCACCCTCTTAGCGAGTCACAAATTTCTTAGTTCAGGGTTCTTACTTCTGTACAATACCGCAAACGAGCCCCATTGACAACCGCAAGGGATCCCGTGAAAAGTAGAGGAATGGAGTGGATTTTAGACATAGATGGTGAATGTGCTGAGAATCTGCACATCGCGTAGAACAATGAAATGAATAAAACTATAAATAATCGAACTGTTTCTTTTGGTATTTTTTTTCTCCTTTTTTAGTCAAGATGTTACGTTGCTTTGAAATTTTAGGACAGGAAGGACGTTAAGAGGGAAACTTGTCTTTCATTTTAACGCCCAGGAATAGGGAAATATGACCACTTTATTTATCACCGTGTAGAGGTTTTCGGTTTATTTCGAAAGACACTTTGCATCTACAGCTCATGAAAATGTCTCGTCTGGTGGTAACGACCCTGTCGTTGCAAACTTGTGTATTCATTTTTAGTGTCTTTGTTGCTGGAGACACAGGCGTTTTTAGGGGCCCTCGTATTTCTTCCCTTGTGGGGAAGGAAGAAATACGAGCGCCCCTAAAAACGCCTGCGTGGGAGGTTACAGGAGACAGAGACAGTTACAAAGATACAAAATCAAGGGAAGAGAAACAAAGGAACGATTAAATGGAATTCTCCTAATGGGGTTGTACTAGCCGGTGAGCTTTTATCTGGGGTCGTTTTCAGAGACTTTCGCCGTTAGAAAAGTTATCATTTTCTAAAGTTGATACGAGGCCAGGTTTGAGCAATTTCTTCTTAAGAATATTGCATCTAATTGAACTACAGTATGTGAAGTTTAGTTCAGTTAAGCTTTAAGGTTAATCAGCGGTTTTGTTTTATATTTACGGTTTCTTTTATTTTCAGTCTTGGCATTAATTGTTTTAAAATTTATTCAGTTGAATTTTTAATAGTTTTTGTTGCGATAATAAACGTGACACGATGATCCGGTAACTTAAGTCCAGGCCATTCTTCTTTCCTCTGGGGATAATTTGCGGTCGACAATGGGGATCACTTGAGGTCGAGGATTATTTGCGGTCCATTTTGGGGATCATTTTCGGTCTGAGGATCATTTACGGTCGGGGATCAGTTGCGGTACTGCACAGTTCGCCTCAGTTATATTTAACAATGATAAGGCCCACAGTGGGTTTCCGCCGTGTGAACTCTTTTGAACTAAACATTACTGCTTCTTTTGGTCCACATGACTGTTAAACCAATGATAAACATTTATCGAATTTCAGGGGGATGGCTTCTTGTATCCAACGTTGTTTCGCACGGTTCTTCAACGACTCAGTTGCCAGTTAAGACATCGTACCGCGGAGTAAGCAGCAAAGAGAAGTTACTCACAAAGAGTGCCATGAAGGAGCTGAGGAAGCACTTGCATTTCACTCAGATAAGATTCCACTGCAAGAAAAGAGGAGGTCGTACATTTCACATCACCACGGCTGCTAACAGCAAAGGTGAAGCTGCTGTAAAATACCTCAGTGGTGAGACAGATGCGATGCCTGCCTCTTGTGGCTCGTTTGTGATCATGAGCAATGATAACTCGCGGTTATCAAGAGCCTGCAAAGATTGGGGATACGAAAAAGGTTCTAGCAAAATAGGCAAATGGGGGGCACAGAGCGTTCAGAAAAGATTATACGACCACACTGCTTTTGTATGGGCAGCTTACCACTGGCTTCTTCAACCGTCTGGCAGATGGGAATGCGACGATTATAATGTGGGAGTGTCACGTGGCGATTTTTGGAAAATCTTCGTGCGATAGGACCTTATAGATTGAAGTCACCATAACGGAAGCCTTTTTTTTTAAATTTTAAGGGGTCAATTTTAAAAGAAAGCTAACCACATCGGCACTATTCAACACCAGGATCTAAAGAAAAAACAAGCAAGAATTATATTACTGCAATGGTCCTAGTATGAGTGAAAGGGAAATGATATAACACTCAATAAATGGCATCATGTAGTATTAGATGAAATAAAAATAAAGAAAGTGGGTGATTCATTAGTACCGTCTTTTTTCTTACCCCCCGGCACCATGGAAATGTGCGATTTAACGTAGACAGCCTGATGCAACAGTCAAACTGGCTCATACCATTTTAATTATTATTCCTGGTATTTCTGAGGGGATTCTTCATTCCGTTTCCCACCAATCGACAGGAAATAAGTGATGTTCCCAATTGCTGAAAGTGCGACAAAAATTCTTTGTAAATGCACCCCTATAAGTAGTTACCACTCGCCTCATGCACCAAGGATCAATTATCGTTTCGGGTTAAGGACATGTCTAAAGTTTCAATATATTAAACGGGCATGTAAACTGTCTTACGTTCTGAAAAATTAAAAATACATTTATCTAGGGTGACCAGTGGCACGAACTCCCTAGAGCCACTCTCGGCGAGTGAAAGGTAAAATTATGCAAATTAATTAATTCTGGTTTTATACGCAGAGGCTCCGTTCGAGTTTCCACCCCTTAGCGTTTTCATCGTACCTTTTTTGACAGAAAAGTTACCCTTTTCATATACCTTCTATTGACAAATCGCACCCCTTTCACATATCTGGCTTAGAACACTGCATCCCTTTTAACTGCTGTGAATGCACTGTCTTCTTTTAAATATGAATAAATCATTAAGGCAGGACGTTTTCTTGATTTCTACAAAGCCTTTAAAAACCAATTGTTAGCCCTTTCAGTTCTTTATACACCGAGTAGCAGATTTCCTTTTCCTTCCATGTACCTCAACTCGTCAAATCCCTACCCTTTTATATACCTGAAAAAGGTACCCCTTTCGGGCGGAGCCTCCCAGTACAGCAAATTACAGGGACTATCCCATCGAATCCCCTCTCATGCGTGCTCTTGATACATGTACTGTGACTCAAAAGAGAAATAAGAGGCTGCTCTCAGTCTACCAACTCCCACAGGCGACAAATCTATCCGAAACACCAAATTTTGCCACAGGAAGTTCTATCGTTAGAAACCCTTGTAAGCGACCTCTTGTGACCCCTTGCTATCTCTTTACGCGACCACTAGACACCCTGCGTGATCTCTAAGTTCGCTGTATGTACTACGCTACTCGGAGTATACGAAGCACTTCATGTATTTTTGCACGTCATATCGCTTGCTGTGCGTGATCGGTAGTGAAATGATTTACCCGCGAAGTTTAAAATTACATGACACCACTCTACCCGACCACTAAGGAGGCGTCCTTACAAATAACCACGCAGTATGACACGATACCAAGAATAGATTGAAAATAATTTTCATGGGAAGAGGGTCATGTATGGGGGTATTCGCTCTCTTAGATCATTCTCTCTTGGACCGGTCTAAAAACGAACTCAGAGCGGTCTGACTTCGTGTCGGGCGCTGACCCGACAGGAGTTATTTTCTTACCGGTCTGCGACTGTACCGTTGTCATGTAAAACGGAAACGAATCTCAGACCGGATCCATAAATAGCATGTTGCTTCCTATGGCTCCCTCATTTTTACTTTTTCTTAGCAAAATAAGAACACTGCTATGAATTATAACTGTAAACTAGGGTATCTAAAAGATAGTAATGCTGCGGCACATTCTGTTGATACTGGCATTAGTTAGGCAGTGAGACTAAAAGAATCGAAAATGATGTTGAATGTCCTATTTACATGTTGGAATTAAGTACTAGAATAATTACTATCAGTCTATAGAAAGAACTCGTGGGAACGTTGTTTAGAAAATGATCAAGTGGTTATAACTCTGGTTTTCCCACAGGAAATTGTAGGAAATAATAGAAATTCAGATTGTTTATCCATATATTTAATATACTGTGCACGATATTTTCTCTGGAAACACAATACTTTTCTTGCTGTTTGTTGCACTTTATTAAGTAACAGTTATTTAGCTATATATTTATAGAAAACAACAACAGAAAAACGGAAAAAAAAAAAAAAAAATGGGGAATATAGAATTCGGCAGGGACTCGAACCCTGAACCTTCGGCTCGACGCGACTACACCTAACCACTACACCACGGAGGCTAATTACGTAATCCTTAAGAAAAGTCTTGATTTATTCCTTTTCCATGAAACTTCCGCCGGCAAGATGATCGCCAGCCGCATTAACCGAGCTATTAACAGTGAAAAAACAATGTAAACGCATTTCATGAATGAAAGAACATAATTATGCTTTTCAAAACGCCGATACACGTCCTCGTCTGCAAAGTTGGACACAAAACATATGTTTTGTTGTCTCGATTTCCGCTGTTATTTTGAAGCGAATGGTCAAAATCACATCCATTTTCGCCTCATACAGTTTCTTAAGAATAGCACTGCATGACATTTTCTCACTTTCACATCACCTTCTAGCAAGCTGGAATTTGTATATCCCCCGTGTTGCGGAGTCGAAGAGCAAATGCTCATCTTCTAGTCAGGTTTAACACCTGGACGAGTCAAAGGCTCTTGAATTGAAATCCAATCCCCAAGTTAACGATCGTACTCATCTGAAAGACTCCTGCGTGTCTTAAAATTTGGTAAGACCTCTAACCGTGCTGTAGAAAATTTGCCACAAAGAAAACTCTAAGTCTGAGCAGCGAACGATGCACTCTCTCACTCTCCGAACTTCCCCGTGTTTTTATTTGAGTTGTTCGTGGCGCAATGCACTCTAGTTAAATGCAATGCATTGTGGTTAAAAGTGTGGTTAAATGCAATGCATTGTGGTAAAAAGTGATGAATTCGAGAATTCGTCGTCCCTTATATATTTCCTTTAAATCCTGATTATGTTGCTGCTCGCTCCCTTCGGTCGCTCCGCAGCAACAAGACTTGGAAGTAGCTTCAATTGAATATATGCTTTCGTTAATGCTAGGGATTGCACCATTTTGAGATGCTGCACATTTAACATACCACCAGATGAGCGTTAGATAAAGTTTACAATTTCTGGGAGCAGTAAAATCTGCAGTTCTCTACCAGTCAGGTGACCAGTTAGGACAGTTAGTGAATAATATGTTAAATAATCGACTTAAGAAAGTTATATAGCTACAAGAATCTCCTGTTTTTGAGTTTGTACCGGTCTCATGTAATCAACGAAGCGTTTCGTCCCGCTCTCATGTAAACGACTGCAAAAATTACAAATTCGTACCTGCCTGAGTTAGTCCCAGTCTCATGTAATTACCCCCTAAATTCGCATTTCGGGTGGTAGCCTTATGGGATAGTTCGACTGTAATTGCACACTTCTCATTGATAGCATTACCGTGTTATAAAAAGGAAAGAGTGTTGTAGTGCTTATTCATTCATGTTGAACCACAAGTGGATCAAGAGGAATTATGTCTGACCTTGATTGCAGAATTTGTCGTGGTGCGACTGTGGATGTGCAATCTTGTGTCATGCGATTGTGTTTGAATTAAGTCCGAGTAGTCGTCGAACGGGACGAACTCAGACCAGTATGAGTTCGTATCGGTCTCCATACATTTCTTTTCATGCGTTCACATGGAACCGGCCTAAAAATGAACTCAGACCGGTTTAACTTCGTCTCGGTCGATGACCCAACACGAGTTACTTTCCTACCGGTCTGAGACCGTATCGTTCTCATATAAATTGGAAACGAATCTTAGACCGGGTCCATAAATAGCATAGCTTCAATTGAATATTCTGGTGCTTGGATTAATGTGAGGGATTGCACCATTTTGAGTTGCTGTGCAGCAAGTATTAACAGGCCACCAGATGAGCGTTATATAAAGCTTAGCTAGTTTGTGTACTCACTGTTTACTGGCGTAAATTGCTTACCAGTTAGGAACGTCAGTAATAATATGTTAAATAATCGACTTGTGAAAGTTATATAGCTCCAAGAATCTCCTGTTTTATAGTTTGTACCGGTCTCATGTAATCGACCAAGCATTTTGTCCCGGTCTCATGTAAACGGCTGCACAAATTACAAATTTGTACCGGTCTGAGTTCGTCCCGGTGTCATGGTATCACACCCATATTTTAAGAGAGACTTAAAGAAGTAAAGGGAAACGTAAAACGACCAAAGCTACAAAAGGAAGCAGACAATGGAGAAGACGAGACATTGTTGAGTCGCGAAAGCAACTTATTAAATTTTAACGGGGGATTTTCTTCTGGATCACTACCACTGGATAATCGCTTGACTAATCACTAATCAAAATTGGGTTATTGCAGTGCTGATTTCAGACTTCATGTACATTTTCAAACTGTTAGAAACCTCTTGCATTTGATTCGACCAGGTTGTATTCAAACAGGAAGATCCGTATTGCTTAAAAAAAATAATAAAAGAATTTATAATGAAAGTAATGCTCTCTGGTCCAACAGAAATTTCCCTGTTTCAATTATTTTGTATCCTTTTGTGTACACAATCAAAAGCTGCTTTTGATTCTAATATCTCTTCTGACAGAAACACTCAGAGGTTTGACGAGTCCCTTCTTTCCAAGCGCTCGAAAACACGAAATGTGGATTGCGGCAAGTTCACGAATAGAACGTTGATATTTTAATGATCAAAAGGGACAGTTAAGAAGACACACGCAAGAAGACAAGATTTTGGCAAGGTTAATGCGGCTTTAACACATATATCACGAGAATAAAAGTGAAGCAGAACCAGTCCTTCAACAGGCTAAGGTGAAGCAGGGAGACAAGACACTCGGCCGGCAAAACTATTTTCTGTGAACTTAAACTTATTCTTAAAGTGCTTTAAAGCCAAGTGGTTGGGAACTGGTGGTTTCGTGCCTGGTTGGATATGAAATGTGTATGGCATTCATACCCTTGGCATTATATGTATTCATTTGACCTGTGTTCAGGTGGTTGGATAGAGTTTTTCAGAGACAATACCTTCTAAGTTTGAATACACACTAGGTCGTGATTGATAAAGATTGGAAAAATGATCATCAAAGCTGTATTAGATAAAGATGTATATTTCCTATGATCAGTGTTACAATGACGTCAGAGTTGTCATAGTAACGAAATGACGTCATTACGTATTCTACTTGCACATGAGATCCCTTGATTTGCGGCCTATTTCTTGGTATTTCTTTTCGCAACTGCAGAAGTTGCGTCTTTTACTGCGATGATCTTATCACATTTATTTCTTTATCCCGCAGTTTCAATATATGAAATTCATGAACCAATTTAATGACCAGCTCCCAGTTGTCTTGCCATCTCAATTGGTTAGAGTCATGCACCGGTATCTCAAAGGTCAAGGTTCAATTCCTGGCAAGCCTGGCAGGTTTTGACTGCGATGATCTTCTCTACATTTATATGTAACAACAACCTCAACAAATACGTTATCGCAAAAACCTCGCCAGCCTAGAAAGAGTCAGCAGTGAGAATAAGGGGAAACAACCCAAAGGGAAAAAAATTGTTCAACAAATGAACAAAAAAACAGGAACTAAACAGATAAAAACATACAAACAAAAAGAAAATACAGTCGAAGCTCTAGTAAGCGACCACCTCGGAAATTCGAAGTAGAGGTCGTAACTAGAGCTGGTCGCTTACGAGAATGCGCTAACGTAAGCGAACGCATGGTAAAACAATAGAGGGTGGTCGATTACGAGAGTTTAAGAAAATTATCAATAATTCGCAAAGAAAGGTGTTCATAACTAGACCTAGTCGCTTACGGGAGAAGTCTCAATGAGAACATCGACTTTAGCTTCATCGGTATTTGAACCAACTCTATGATAACGTCAGCTCCTAACCATACTGCGCCACGCTGCCACCGCTGCCACGTACGTGCACTAGTTAATTTGTGAGCTAAAATTATTAATTATATTTATAGCGTTTCACTGTCACTGTTTGAAGCTGGTGGAAAGAAAATAAGGTATTTAAGCGTATTTCAAATCAATTTTGCATTATCGCATTCAATTTAATCTCGGGTTCAAAGCCTGATCGATGTACGGAGCTGAAATTGCCATTCCTTGCTATATGATGTGGGTGGCATTCTTTCGTGTAGTTCAAACATTTCGAAAAGTTTAATCTTTATCTTAAACAGCAAAATTGCCCTTGTCTTCGAAACTGAAATGCTAAATTGAACTGCGAATGAAGAATCATCGCGGAGAGTCGGTAGGTTTCAGAGGGTTTTCATTTGGAGCCGCTTCTGCCACTTTGTGGTTTCGGCGGGCGGTGATTTTGTTTACGCGAAGTTTTCTGAGATCAATATTATAATTCGACCTTCTTGCTGTTTTTACTGTCAAGTGTAATGATTCTGTTAGCTTTTCCTTCTTGTTTCCTTGTTTATTTCTTTGTTAAGGACCAAATAACTTCTTTTCAATGAAAGCAAATCATTGTGTTTTTGAACTAAGTGTTCCGTGTTTGTGTTTATTTCATTGTGTGAGTTTCATTTCAGTACAACCGGTTCAGAGTTGTACCGCATGCAGTTGATAGTTTGAACGTTAAACACGAACTACGATCGAAAAAAATAATGCAATTCTGTATCATGCAGACATTTCCAAACGATATTTCTCGGTTTGCCACTTGAAAATCGTATTTTACTTTTTGCATGAATTAAAGCAAAGGTCAAAGAGTAGTGACGTCACTGGACGGCATTAACGGCCGGTCGATTCAGACGTTACTGAGGGAGTAATAACGACTCCAAGTAATCGGATGAAATTCAGGCTACCTTTCCCTTAAACCTCGACTTGAAGCTATAAAGTAGTTACCAGGCGTTCTGGCTCAAACAGTTAGAACTGGGCTACTCCGTTCGAAATACAACGTCACGTGACCGAATTGTTTCCATGTACTCTAGTTAACAAATTGACGCCAGTTTTTTTATCGTCTGTCCTCTTATTGATGATAAAATGACATCATAACATTGTCAAAGTGTTGTGGATCCACGAGCCGCAATACAATAACAAAAGCTCGAAAAAGTCAAATATTGCCGGTAAAAATGAAGACAACACAAGAAAATCTAGCGCAATGGTATTGTCAATAACTTTTTTCGCTTAGTGATTGGCTACTGATAACAAGTAACGGAGTTTTATTGGCTAAAAATTTGACAGGTTGAGTCACGTCACTGCCCCGCATAAATTTGTTTTGCAAACTTCAAACAAGAATGAGATCACCGATGTTTATTGCCTAGCTAAACGGAGGCATCTTAGGGCTGTATAAAGTCGCAAACTAGCCCAAGGTTAAATATTATTCCAAGGTAAGATTTTGGAGCCGCTATAGTAAACGAAAATTAAAGTCGAAGCAATGTACGGTTAAACTGTCTTTAGATCAAACTAGCCTGGCAGTTTAGAAGAGTTGTTAACCGATCAGTACGAACAGAAATCGTGTACGGCTGGCTGTTTACTTCAGTTCTCGACTTGTTTGTCGTCCCGAATGCCATTCAGCTATATGAGCTGTGTACAATCAAACCGAAAGGTGGGTTTTATAGTCATGAAGTTTTAAATTCAACTTACCAGGTACTTACAAAGTTTCATAAAGTTTGTACAAAAAGTTTGTTTTGCTTTCGGAAAAAAGGATCAGAAAAACACTCAGTACTTGTCAAAAAAAGAAAAACTACCGTTATAAATGTGCTTATTTTTAATAAACTAGTCGACTTTCAGGATTGTTTTCTTACTTTTTTAACTTTTTACGAACATTAAAAGCTTATCTAAATCGCAGTTTTGAAACCGTATCATTTCTAGCAAGTCGTCCCCGCTTTTGGAAACTAAAAGTGTCTTATTTAGTTTCCTCTGCTTAGGCTTTTTGCAGAGAATCCAAACGGGATGCAAATCTTGAACTTTCTGGCTGTTATTCTCAGAGAACAGAAAGTGAATCTTCTACGAAACTAAACTAAGCACAAACACTGAAGTTCGGCATTCGATCGGCAAATGACTGCGTCTTGCATTATAAAACCTAAAATTTTATGTGTTTGTCCTCTTAATGATAATTAAAATTATTAAAAACTGAATCATTGGATAATGCAATTCTAGCATTTTCATTGGGTTAGCGGTTATGGTATATGAGCTATTATACCATGCACTCCATATATGGTCCATGTACGCGTCAGTTTAAAATTGGAAGCTAGCTGAGATTTTTTTTTGCGAACGATAGAACGGCGCCCGAAGAAAATCGTTTTAATTCATTTCTTAGAATACTAGACATGCAATTTCATCGAAACAAAAAAGACAAAAACAAACAAAAAAGCCACAAGAGCGTGTTTGAAAGTTTGTCGAAAAACACATGAAAATACATGTGTCTAAAGTACCTTGACCAGCTACGAAAGAAGACAGGTGTTGTTTCTTCATGATCGCGAAGCCATCCGCCGAACGAGTCACTCGCCGATAGATAACTGCGGCTTGTTTATCCGACATCAAGAATATAAATCACAAGTAACCAGCTACAAATAGAGGCTATGCAGCCATTCACTAGAGCAATCAAGGCTGCAGTATAGATTCTTTTCTCGTTCAGCAAAACCAGCTTGTGGCTTCAAACAACTTCATAACAAGCGACCGAGGTAATAGTTTTTCTCCGTTGTTCTTACTTTTGTAACTGCACCGAAAATCCAAATTCACAGTAATTTCGACGGCTGTCACTTAAAAATTCTTTTCTTTCACATTATCTGCCAGGTTTTTTTAGCTGTGCTGCTTTGTAAAATGGTAGAATCCCGATGAGTTTTTTAAAAATTATTAATGTTCATTGCTGCAATACTTCGATTTTTCATTCATGTAGTCCAGGCGAGTCCGTTCGCGCGTTGACAGTTTTGATAGACGTGTGACATGTGAATAGAGGAAGTCCCTTGTCTTTTCCGGTTTGTTCTAGTAGGGGAGATTCAACAAGTTTTTGTGGGAGTTTTTAATAAAACAATTATTCCACTCGCGCTTGTTGGATATGAGATGATTATAGCCAACTCGGCGCTACGCGCCTCGTTGGCTATCTATCAGGGACTTTAAGATCTGGGACGAGACGACTTCTAGAACGCGGTGGCTGATAAAGGACTGGAACTAGAACGATGTCGTTTGCGCGCGAAAAGTAAAGTTAAGATCTCCGTCGCGATGCAAGACGACGCGGCTGCAAACCGCTCTTTATCAGTGTGATTCTTCAGCAATTCTTTCGCAGAAATAGCCATGGCATCATTTAAGAAAGTACAAGAAATGCTTTGTTTGTGCTTTGTTCGATAGCATCACCTCCACTTCGTCGTTAACGCTTCGGTTTGTCATCGCTTTCATCCGCTGATGAACCTCTTTTCTTCGTCTCTGACAGCTTCTCCATCGCTTTCAGTCTAACATCTTCCGCTTTAGCCCGATCGTATTGACGTTTTTTGCTAGCTGTTCCCTGTGTTTCCTGTAATTCCGCTTGGCCACTTTCCTCCAACGCGATTATCATATCCAATAGGTTTTCTAGTTCCGTTGGCTCATCGGGAGTTATTCCAGTTGCTTTATCCTCCGCTAGAAGTTTTTCTTGTGCTTGTAAACAAGGATTCCCACGTGGTCTCGGACTGATCGCTTATCAACCCTGAATTTCGGCAAAGTGCATTTCTTCAACGTGTCTGCTATTTTTTTCCCACATACTGCTTCTTTGTGTTGACCCTTTCTGGAAGCATAAAACAACACGCAGTTTAATAAAATAAAATTAAATAATACAGGATTAAAATTGGTTTTTAGCGGCAGATGAACGCAATAAATCGGGAATTGCAACGGTAGAAGAGACGAGAAGAGTATGCAGAAGACTCCTGCATTCACTATTTGCAGTTTTAGCTCGTGACTTACTTGCAAGCCTTGCTCGAAGTCGAAGTCGAAGTCGAAGGGCTGCCATTTTATAAGCTTCGTACATCTGAAAGAAATTTCAAAATAATGAAAATCCTTCCATCTGTGTTACCCTCGTTGCATGAGTCCACAAATAAACCGTAAAACTTCTTTACACTTCACATGCTTCACATGTTTATTTTCGTTTCTTTTTCTCTCTCGTCACTCGTTCAGCTCGCGCTCTCTTTTCTGATAACCCGGATGAATACGTCATACACAAGACTCGTTTCCGCTTCCGGTTATTTTGTTTTTAGTACAATATCTACATGTAACATACATCCCCTCCGAGGAAAAGTGTCGTCCCCGTGAAAGAAAAATCACGACAGTAAACTAGAGAAATAGTTCTCCTAAGGAAATGCTACAAAACAGTCCACGTTTTCCGTACAATAAAACTGACTTAAAGGATCCTTTCTTCTTTGACTTACATTGGTACCAATAATCCATAAAGGCTGCAGCCATTCAGTGTTCTGGTAACATTTCCTATCCTGAGGGCTCACCCTCCTTACAGTTCTAATAATTTCTGACGGTGTCTTGAGCAAGAAAAAGAAATCTAAGTGTTTTTTTTTTTTGACAAAACTAAACTAAGGTTTTTTTTTTGTCGAACAGCAGTCTTAGAATGTAGGGCTTGGCATTTGCATGTGTCCATAGGTCACTGGATATAGTCCATGGCAACCAACGTTCGCTGGGTAACTAAAGTTTGTTGGAGGCATCCCCTGGTAGCCAAAGATCATTGGATAATGAAATGAGGGAAACGGCTGCATGGTCATTGGTGGTAGGGGCTGCCAGGTAGCTGGTAAACTTATTTGCCACGCAAGAGGAGGGCGTTGGCCATATGGAGTAGATGGTAACGGTACACTGTCATTGGTAAGTGATTGCACAACAGCTCTAGCCTGGTACACTGGGTTTCCAAGGGTGTCATAAGTCAAGACCGCTGGGGGACGTCTGTCACGCTGAGGTCTAGGCTCTGCTATAGAGGCGCCTTCCTGACTAGCGTTACCTGGGGTCGATGGTCCTGCCTCATTCTCACTCGCTGCAGGGAAGGGTGCTGTCTCCTCTACAGGGGGGTGATGTTCCTGCTCTTCATCTGCCGAGCAACCATCTTCTCCCTCTCCTCTGTCTGAGACGGTCGCTGATTCCCAAGCAATATCCTCGGAGAATGACTCTGCGGAATGGTCAGTTTGTAGTTCAGGTTGCCGTTCAGGTTCGAAGTTCAACTCGTAGTGCTCACTTTCGTCGTCTGACGACTCTTCCACAAGTGTTGTAGGCGCGTGATTTGTCTCTCTCCTAATTTCTTGCCGAGACTTCTGTCTGTGAGGGGTCTTACTCGCAACATCTACTGGTAGATGGTTACATGGCAGCAACAGGTTTCTGTGTAGAATTCGTGTTCCACCAGGACTTGTCTCAGGTTTGACCTCATAGACTGGACTGTCCTCACCTTTACGACTAATCATCACATGAATTCGGTCTTCCCAGTGCGAGCGAAGTTTACCTGGGCCGCCCCGTTCGCTTAAATTCCGCACAAGCACTCTATCTCAGGGGTGCAACACTGAACGTCGGACATGATGATCATAGCGTTGTTTGGCTCTGTCGCTCCCTTCATTTGCCCGTTTTCTTGCTAGTTCATAAGCCTCTGACATCGCCTTCTACCACTGCGCTACATATTGAGTATGGCTGCCTTGGTTACCTGTCCTGTCAATGCCAAAGATCAGGTCGATTGGAAGACGAGGGTGGCGGCCAAATAGCAGATAAAAAGGAGAGAAACCAGTAGCCTCGTTCTTCGTGCAATTATATGCGTGTACGACTTGATTAAGGTGATCTGCCCATCGTGATTTCTGTGTCTCTGGTAGGGTACGGAGCATAGTCAACAAAGTGCGGTTGAATCGTTCAACTTGTCCGTTCCCTTGTGGATGATAAGGGGTGGTGCGGGAGTGTCCCACGCCGCACAACTTCTCTAGCTCTCGGTGAAGACGATTTTCGAACTCTCCTCTCTGGTCATGGTGAATCTTTAAAGGAAAGCCGAATCGAAGGACGAAATCATTGTAAAGCTTCTGAGCGACTGTTCTGGCTGACTTGTTCTTTGTAGCATAAGCTTGCACATAGCGAGTAAAGTGGTCCATCACAGGAAGAATATATTCGTACCCTCCACTGCTTTTCTCCAGATGGAGAAAGTCGATAGCAATCAGTTCGAACGGTGCAGTAGTGGTGATGGGTTGTAATGGAGCCCTGATCTTGAGAGTCGGAGGTTTACGTTTAACACATTGACAGACATGCCCAATGTAGTGCTCAATGTCGCTCTGCATGTGTGGCCAATAGAAGCGCTCTCTGGCTAGGTGTAAAGTGCGATCCGCTCCGAGATGACCCATTTTCTCATGCAACTCCTTAAGAATCAGTGAGCGCAGTTTTTTTGGAATGAGGAGTTGAGTACGACTTCTCGTGCACCGTTGGAGTATCCCATTTTTGTCAACTGACAGGCTATTCCATTCATGAAGGAGCAGCTGCACATCCCTTGGCTCTTTCTTTCTCTCGGCTGTCGTTGGGCGCAATCCACACTGAATCAACTCTCTTACTCGATTGATGACTGGATCCTCAGTTTGTGCTTGTTTTACGTCAAGTTGCGGTACACTAGGTTTTCCTCCATCAGACATATCTGATTCGAGTGTAGCATGGTCTCCTGAAAGAGCTGAGATCCAATTCACTGTTCCTTCCTCTTGAAGCTTTGCAGAACACACGACAGTCTGGAGGACTTCATGCGGTATAACCTCTGTGCACGACTCCATATAAGCAATATCATCAAGCGCCATTCGCGACAATGTATCAGCATCGATGTTCGCTTTTCCCGGTCGGTAGTGAATTGTGAAATTAAAATCAGCCAAGTCACCTATCCAGCGGAGGCCTGTCGCGTTAAGTTTAGCCGAGGACAGGACATAAGTAAGCGGATTATTATCTGTGTACACTTTGAAGCTTGGGGCGTAATAAAGGTAATCTCTAAACTGGTCACGGATGGCCCACTTTAGTGCAAGGAACTCCAACTTCCCAGAATGTAAGTGGTAATTCTTCTCGGCAGGAGTCAAAGTGCGTGACCCATAAGCAACAACGCGAAGGATATCATTTTGGTGTTGGTACAGCACAGCACCAAGCCCATCCTTAGAGGCATCTGTATGAAGGACAAACGGTTTCTCAAAGTTTGGGTAGGCCATGACTGGAGCACACGTCAGACAATCAATAAGTTTATCTAGTGCGGATTGGTGAGAGCTGGTCCAGACAACTGGGTGCCTTGGCGGTAACTGTGAAGGGTTCTTCTTGCCTTGCCTTGGTTTTCTCTCATGGACTCTTCAGAAGGGGGATCTGTTATCTTGATTAAATCATAGATTGGTTTTGCAATTTTTGAGAAGTTCTTTATATATCGACGGTAGTAGTTTAAGAACCCCATTAGTTTGCGCACTTCATTAACTGTCTTGGGAGATGATTCCTTGAGAGAAAGCACTGGCTTGATACGGGAGGGGTCTAGCTTGTAGCCCTCCTCAGACACCACGCGTCCAAGAAATACAACTTCTTTTTTGAACAGTTTACACTTCCGCGGTTTGAGTTTAACTCCATGCTCTCGCAGTCGACGCAGGACTTTGCGTGTATGTTCAACATGTTCCTCAAAGGACGCACTGAATATGATTATATCGTCCAGATAGGGTATACAAACAGTATCCCGTAAGTCTCCTAGACAGTTCTCCATAAATCGTTGGAAAGCCCCTGGGGCTCGGAAGAGTCCGAATGGGATCCTCACCCATTCGTAGAGACCCCATGGAGTGATAAATGCTGTATAAGGCTGACTTTTAGCGCTCATGAATCCTTGATGGTAAGCTTTGCCCTGGTCTAGTACTGAAAACCAAGAGTTCCCACCGAGATTATCTAAAGTCTCTTGTATCCTCGGTATCGGATGGCGATCAGGTCGCGTTTTCTTGTTCAGTGCTCTGTAATCCACGCATAGCCGCAAACTTTGGTCCTTCTTTCTGACACAAACAACCGGTGAAGTGTAAGACGAGGAGGACTTTCGGATGAAATCACAATTTAACAAATCTTCAATATAAGCCTTTACCTCTGGGTATAGTGGTTTTGGCACTGCCACATAGTTCTTCTGAACAGGGGTTTGATCCTCAAGATCCAAGTTTAACTCAAGGTCTCTAATACAGCCAACATCACTGTCATCCCTTGCAAATGACTCTGCTTCCTCGGTAAGTAATTTAAGTGCCACTTCCTTATGATGGGCACTGAGACCACTTAGGTCTATATCTTTTATGTATGATGGAGTACTCACAGGTTCTTCAGCATGTGGAGGTATAAGCGGTGGGCCTCCGGCGTTTCCAGTACATGTTGTAGCCTGATCAGCAACTTTTCCTTCTGTACTCTCTTCATCAGGTGTTTTCATGTTCCCATTAGAGTCCATTAACCTAACTTCTACCGGTGTAACTGATTGTACAAGTTGTAGTCGCCCGAGCAAGGTTCGTCCCGGGAGTCTGATATCATGGTTGGTATTGTTAACAATGTCAATTTCCACTTTACTTGATTTCCCTTTCTTTACAGTCAACAAAGTCTCTGTAATCTCCAACCCGCTAGGCCATGGGTTAGACTCATCCGGTTCAAAAAGTACTGGAGTAGTTCTCTCTACAGGCCCTGTGTTTGCTCTGCAAGTCACACTTTGACTTTGTCTGGGAGGTATAATAATATCATGCTTCATGGTCTTGATCAAGCAGAGATCACTTTGATTACGGCTTTGGATAAAATTCACTAATGCTGAAGCATTCTTGCTATTTAACTCAGTAAAACTTGAAGTAATTTCTTGATGTAGCATAGCATCCTCACTACTGGTTTTAACAATCTCCTCAATCACGTTAAAGCCGATTATTGGCGTGTCTAATGATTGGTCTGTAACAAGAAAGGG